TCTTGCGGGGCTGCGGGGCTCTGCCTTGGGTGGCGGGGCTGCGAGGCTGCGGGGGCTCTGCCTGGGGCGGGCGGGGCTCTGCTGGGGCTGCGGGGGCTCTACCTGGATGGGCGGGGGCTGCGAGCCTGCGGGGGCTCTGCCTGGGGCGGGCGGGGCAGGGGTCGGGTTTTACCACGCGTAACTGCTTGTGCTCCCTCCGAGGGATGCTTCCTCCCACTCGCGCCCGGTGCCCGGTGCCCCCAGCCCTTAGATGCCCAAAGTGCACGGAGGGCTATTACCGTTTCTTTTCCTTTAGGCCCGGCATTCTGAATCGATGCCCTTACTCCTGTTAACGCGTGTAAAGGAATTTCTGCTCCTTAAATTATCCTCTTGATTTCCACGCTCTGGAGAATGAGATTCACAGCTGAATTCTCAGATGGCAAACCTACGTGGGGGTGGGGGTTAGGGAGTTGACGGCAATACTGGAAATAACCAGGCGTGGATTTATTATAGAATATATAATATAGAAATAACAATTCTATATTTTATATTAGGTACAGTGGAACTGATGGATAGAAAAGGAGATTTATGTAAATACAAATGGAGTTATGAACCTTTGGGCCTAGCTGAGTGATCTTTATGTTGTCTGTTTATGTCTGTATGGGAATTAGAATATTTTGCATTAGTTATAGTTTTTCATTTAGTTTCTGTTTATTCAGCTTACATATATATGGGATTAGAATAAGTTTCTGAATTTGATCCCATTCAGAATTTAGTATGACAGATTGATTTATTACATAGAAAGCAAGACAAACTAAATGAATAAGAGGTAACACAGGGATTTACTTTGTACTAATTTTCTGTATAAAACATTGGTTTTGTGTCATAGGCTTGTGATCACCTGGATTCTCATTTGAGTCCCTAGTGAAATTCATGGAGTACCTTAAGTAATTAAATTTATCTGTGAAATCACTTTTTAAACAGAGGTGAAAGCAAACTTTTAAATTCTTCATAAATAGTGGAGTATGCTATATTTTAATAAAATGTACTTTCAGTGGAGCCAATGCTAGTGCTTGTTGCAAGGTTGTTTTTTTATTAGTAAGTTGTACCTTGACTTTACATTCCCCATTTGTTTACCTAGGTTGGGTCCCAAGGCCTGTGAAATTATTCGTTTTCCTAACTTTTTTTTTTTTTTTTTTTACAGGCAGAGAGTATGTTATTCCATCCTTGGCCCATAGATTTATGGCAGAGATGGTGGATTTCTTCATTCTCTTCTTTATAAAAGCAACTATTGTCTTAAGCATTATGCACCTCAGTGGAATAAAGTAAGTTAAGACTATTTGCAGGAAGGTTTATTAAAACCTACTATCTAGAGATCTCATTTTGTTAAGTTCTTTTTATGCCTGCATGTGACTGTATGGATAATTGGTTTGCCAATGTCATGATTTCTTTATAGGAGCTTTGTGAGATTTTTTTCTTGTTAGTTTTAAGAAATAACTACAGAAAAGAGAATAACAGTTAATAAATTCTGCCAGATCTGTGGGAATCTCACCTATCAAAAGTAGGTAAAAGGAGCCCAAAGCCTGGCTTGATTTTATTCAGCTATTTTCTTAGGCAGAACTCGTTTCCCTCTTACTATGCATAAAGAGGTTTTAGTAGATGAACTATTAATAATCAGCTAGATGGCATTTCCAAATGGGATTGCTTATACTATCAAGAAAGTCCCCAAGTGAACTGCAAAGTAAGCCATTTGTTTAAATAATCCCCCCTTCACATTAATAATCATAGTAATTATTACTAAGTACTCTCTACATGTTAGGCACTGAACTCACCTCTTTTTTTCTTCAGAGCCTTAGACTGTAAATGCCTGTCTCCTCCATGAATGTCCCCTCCTCTAGACAAAAAATATCTCCTTTATTGGGCTTGCTGGGTACTTTGGCTTCTGGGTTCCCAACTTTAGTCTTCTCGCAAAGCCCCTCTAAGACAAAGCGAAGGGACCCCTCACTGAGCCTTTAGATCCCAAGGCCAGCATTCTCACCCCTTTAATGCTCTAAAAACTGCTCTGACCTCAGTGTCTTTCCCCCATCCCTCTTCCCAAAGAACAACTTTCTTTTGAGCTCACCTCTTTATAGGGATTCTTTCTTAATCTTACCACCATATGAACCACAGAGCTTAATACCTCCATTTTATAGAGATTGAAATTTGGGTTTACAAGAAGTTAAGCCCAGAATTTACTAAATTACAAAGGTAATAATAAGTGACAGAATCAAGATACAAACCCTTGTAGTCAGATTTCAGGGCTCTTTCCAGGAACCTGAGTGTTACTGTGGTTCCTTCTCTCTCTTCCTCTCCTACCCTCTACATATCCAAATACCAACTCCTTTCTGTTGAATCTCCTGAATAGCCTTCAACCCAGACCATTTTTTATCATCATTGCTTTTCCCTAGTCCAGTTACTGTCATGCCTTGCCTGGATTATGGCAGAAGTTTTCTAACTGGTATCTCAGTCTTGTCTCCTGTTTTATCTCAATCCAGTCTCTGATATAAAACCAAAGAGATCATAAATTGATTCTGCTCCTTTCCTGCCTTAAAATCCTTCCTTCAGTGGTTCCTCATTGCCATCAGGTAAAGTTTTTTTTCATATGGTTTAACTTTAAGTAAGATGCCCTTATTTCTTAATCATTGTTACCACTCATACTTAAGATTTGAGTCATATCAAACTGCTTATAGCTTCCATCACTCTTGCTTCAAGTTTTTCTCCCTTTGTTAGTCCCTCTCTCTGAAACTTCTCCCTTATTAGTCTGGCTAACTTCTCTTCATCCTTCAGATCTCAGCTTAAATGTCACTTCTGGGGAGCTTCACAAGTTAAATGTGCCTGGTATGTGTTTCCATAGTACACTATAATTTCCTATCACAAGTCTTCATCTCACTTTATTACCACTTATTGTTCTACCCTCCCTGCTTGGTTAGAGTCCCATGAAAGCAGAGACCATGTTGAATTCACTCACCAGGGCTAGTACAGTGCCTGCTCATGGTAGTGCTGCCTATTTGTTGAATAAGCTGTTTTGTGAAACACCTAAAGAAGTTTAGAATTTGAAATAAAGTCTGTGACTAACACTAATGGGGAAAAAAATCAATGCAACTGCTCTGATAATTCTTTATAACCCAACACTATTATTTTGTGTAGGGATATCTCTAAGTTTGCTATGCATTATATAATAGAAGAAATAGATGAAGACACATCAATGGAAGACTTGCAGAAAATGATGGTTGTGGCTCTTATATACAGATTACTAGTTTGTTTCTATGAGGTAAGCTACTGACTTCAGCAAATATTAATATTTAACTGTCTAATTTTAGTTTATCAACCCAAAACCAGTGGAAATTTAGTTAATCGTGTATTTGTCAAATGTCTACTTTTTTCAAATTTTCTTTAACATAAAACTTCTCAAGTTAAAAAAAACACCTTTCTGCCCTGGGCACCAGTGTGGCTCAGTTGGTTGGAGCATCATCCCATGCACTGAAAGGTTGCCAGTGTGATTCTTGATCAGGGCACATACCTAGGTTTCGAGTTCAGGTCCCTAGTTTGGGTGCGTACGGGAGGCAACCATCTCTCTCTTTCTCTCTCTCTTTTTCTCTTTCTTCTCTCTCCCCCCTCCTCTCTCTCTCTAAAATCAGTAAAATATATCCTTGAGTGAGAATTAAAAAATAAATTTATTTTTAAAACTTTCTGAGTGGAGACATTTTATAATTTCGTTGTAATATATTTTAGTCTCATGGTCCAAAGATATATTTATAAATTGGTTGTGGAAATTGAGATGTATTTTTCCATAGAAACAACTGGATCATAGAGAAATATTATAGTAGACAACTGGTAGTATTGAAAATGATCTCTTATATCTTCAGTAATACGCATTAAAAGGTTAACCTTTGAGTATTCTGTGAAATTCCTCCAACTTGAAATTTTTAAAACATGAATAATATGGCAGGAAAACTTAACCTTAAAATTGGTGTGGTTGAGCCCTAGCCAGGTACCTCAGTTGGTTAGAGGGTCCTCCCAGTATGCCAAGGTTGTGGGTTCAATCCCCAGACAGGGCATATACAGGAAACAACCAATGAATGCATGAGTAAGTGGAACAACAAATCAATGTTTCTCTCCCTCCCCTCTTCTTTCTCTAAAATCAGTTTGAAAAAAATTAAAATTGATATGGCTGAGCTAGTAAATTATTTTTAAATTATCCTTCTTTCCTTAGATAATTTGCATTTGGGGAGCAGGCGGAGCCACCCCAGGGAAGTTCCTGCTGGGGCTTCGAGTTGTGACATGTGACACGTCAGTGCTTATTGCACCAAGTCGGGTTTTAGTGATTCCTTCCTCAAATGTTAGCATTACAACGTAAGTTCTTATCTTAATCTACTGTATACTTATAAAAATGATAAATTTTTAAGTAATCAATACAGTTCATAAGTTATACCATTTAATATAGTATTTTTAAGATGTTGGTATTTTTTCTTTATGGCATACTGTAATAAATGGGCTTACGTTTATTAAGTTTAAAACAAGAGTTTGAGTGTTTTTCAATTACAGGGGTCCTCAAACTTTTTAAACAGGAGGCCAGTTCACTGTCCCTCAGACCGTTGGAGGGCCGGACTATAGTTTAAAAAAAAACTATGAACAAATTCCTATGCACACTGCACATATCTTATTTTGAAGTAAAAAAACAAAACGGGAACAAATACAATATTTGTATTTGCATGTGGCCCGTGGGCCGTAGTTTGAGGACCCCTGGTCTAGACCTTTGGATAATGAATGGGTCAATTACTGATCTGTCTTCAGTCTCCGTTTGGTAATACCTGTCATCATCCCATTAGCATAGGCAGTAAGAGTTTTGGGAACTACATGCAACCTGCTTGTAATACTCCCAAGAGGCTGTTAGCATCTGCCTCTAGGGCAGCGGTTCTCAACCTGTGGGTCGCGACCATAGGAAAACACATATAGCATATCAGATATTTACATTATGATTCATAACAGTAGCAAAATTACAGTTATGAAGTAGCAACAAAAATAATTTTATGGTTGGGGGTCACCACAACATGAGGAACTGTATTAAAGGGTCGCGGCATTAGGAAGGTTGAGAACCACTGCTCTAGGGCAAGGTACAAATAGTGATAATGGAAGTTGTGGAGGGGAGTAGGTGGTAATCATTTGAGCAAAACAAGATACTGGCTGGAACTGCTGCCAGAATGATTCAGAGCTGGATTGTTAATAAAAAGGAAATATGAACAAAACTCTAGAAACTTACTTTTGCTGACATACAAAATTTCCTTATAATTTTGTGTTTATAATAATCCTACTGTTAATGTCAGTAATGGCTAATGTTTATTGAGCATAAACTTAAAAACAGTGCATATGTATTAACTAATTAAATCTTAACAACCTTACAAGATAGGTACTATATGTACTCTTACCCCTTTTACAGATGTGGAATACAACTTGTGATTGCTAGAACGTGGATCTAATTGCAAGTCTGGATCCAGAGCCCACTCTTAGCCACTGTGCTTTTCTGTAGCCTTTGAGGCAGAAACCTAACATTAGTAGGATAAGTCTCCATTCTAAGCTATTGTTGAAAGCCTTTAAAGCATTTTTAAATCACAGGATCCCACAAAAAGCTGATAAAAAAATACACAGTAATTTAAAATGTGTTTCATAAAAGGTAGAAAATGAGACTGCAATAAGCATACTCAGTTTAGAAGATACAGAAACACAGGAATGGATGACTATAGAAAAGGCAAGGCCCTAACCGGTTTGGCTCAGTGGATAGAGCGTCGGCCTGCGGACTGAAGGGTCCCGGGTTCGATTCCGGTCAAGGGCATGTACCTTGGTTGCGGGCACATCCCCAGTAGAGAGTGTGCAGGAGGCAGCTGATCGGTGTTTTTCTTTCATCGATGTTTCTAACTCTCTATCCCTCTCCTTTCCTCTCTGTAAAAACATCAATAAAATAAAATATTTTTTAAAAAAGGCAAGTAAATAGTTTTCTTCTGGCAAAATACTAGAAAATACTATAAACTTTAGTTCACATTGTAAGACATATTACTGCTTTTCATGTGAAAGTTCTAGTCTTTTATGTTGATGAAGTCTTTAGAACTAGCTGAGATGGTTTGATAGGATACTTGAAAATAACTCAGATATCAAAGGTAAAATTTCTCTCAATTATGAATGTTTTAAATACATACTTTGGACTTGATAGGAAGATATTCGTCTATATGTGGTGTGCATATAAATTATCTGATATTTTTTACTTCCTTTATTTTTAGGTCCACTATACGAGCATTGATCAAGAATTTTTCTATTGCTTCTTTTTTCCCTGCTTTCATCACACTGCTGTTTTTTCAGCATAATCGAACAGCCTATGACATTGTAGCAGGAACCATTGTGGTAAAAAGAAATGGGGTCAGATGATGCCCCCAAAAGCCCTGAATTCCATACTTTCTGGAATGATGACAAGACTAAATTATGTATCAAGGCCATCAGTATCCCTGGGTTACGTTAATTGATGATTTAGAAATTAAAGCAGTCACTCCAGTGTGATACAGGTGACTATTCTGAAAGTATTGATTTTACTTGAATGCCAAAGAACTTTTCCAGAAGAAAAACCTGTTTGAATTCAAGTGTTAAAATTTTAGATCAAAAAGAAGTCAAGTGGTTTCATAATCAACAATGGACAAAATATACTAAGATCTAAGGCATTAGAATTTGCTGTGAAAGCATTTTCAGCTTTGAAATCTCTAAATGAAACTTTAAGAATTTATTTTGGTTTATCCCAAAATGATGGAAAACGTCCAGTTGTGTTTTATAAACACATTATTCATCTTTTAGTTAACACTTCTTGGGGAAATTGTTGTCTTCGATTTTGGGGGAGAATGGGGACACAAATTTGATAATCCACTTATCTCCCATCCCAGGAGGTGGTGAGTTTGCTGCAAGAGAAAGGGGCAAGTGAGGCAGGCCTAGCAGATCCCTTACCTAAAGTTTTAAAATCTGCACTGCAGTTTACTGTGGGAATGATGTAACTTTACAACTATTGTTAATGCTTCAACATGTATTTTGGGGCAGAGTTTTGCATGATGATGAAAAAGTATTGTCATTGCTATATTAACTTTTTTTTTTTTTAAGAGAAGCTAAGTTAATGATTGCTTTCAATGGGGAGGGGGGGTAATTTTTCATTGTGCAAGTTATTTCCAGTGCTCCAAAGCAAACTATAAATATGGGGGAGGGGAATTACTTCCATCAAATTGTTGCATATTTACTGTAAAAACAATATTCCCAGTATGTGTGCAGCATGAAGTATTAGTGCTTTTCAGTGTTCTGAATATAACTTCTCTCTACACACAGGATATCAACACACTAGTTTCCTTTTAAATTTTATATAGTTCCATAACTTTTGAAACGTCAAGTTAAATAATCTGAGTATTTCATGAATACTGGTAACCTGTGAAATATTAGCAATTTCCCCATATGGACTGTTCTAAAACAAGGAAGAGTAGCATTTCCAGACATAATTCTAAGTTCTTTGGTTGTGTGAGCCAAAAGCTTGTGTTTTGGGCCTGCCATGGATGATGTTTTGAAGGAAAAGTTAAGCTAAGTAACACTGTGTATTGCTATTTTAATTTATTTTCCTATTGAAGCAAAGTTGTTTCAAGTGTGTGGTTGCTTTTGTTAAATGATCCAGTTAGCTGTGTTGAGATATACCTGAACTAAAAGTTTTGTTTCTTAGACATTTCTCCAACTCTGATAATCTTCAAAAAACAAAACACTAAACTGTGTTGGACAAGTTCATAAATAGATTGCTTAAAGGGTCATTCTATGCTTTACTTTTGGTGTTAAGTTTATTAGCAAATGGAAGACACGTCTATCACTGTATCAATTTTTAAAGTGGGTTTTTTTTATATTTAAAACTGAAAATATTCACATTTAATGGTTATAGAAACCTTAACAGTATCCTTAATACCCTTTGTAAAACTGCATAAACCATGTTTTTCAAAATAAGTTATATTAAATACATCATCACAGATAGCCTGTCAGTTAAGTGTATCATAGTATTAACCAGTTCATTCACTTGTAACCCCTGGGAAGTTGTGATGGCCCTTCACAATAAAAAGTAATAAAACTAAAATTTTATTAGACTAGAAATTAGGAAATGTTACATAAACTTACCACTGTGTATGTACACACACACACACACACACACACACACACACTTTTGGCACTGATTGAAATTCAAGTTGAAATGCCCTTCAGTCATGTAATTCTGGAATTTACCTTTAATGTATCATTTCCTCTCAGGTATTGGATGGTTTACCACCTAGGCTATTTTTATTTATATAGTAAAACAGAGCAAACAAGTAGTCTGGTTTGTTATACTTAAAACATTGTACATATGTGTAGATTCATTTAGATCCATCTCAGGATTCAAGTTATACTATATAACTATATAGTATTATTTTGTCTGCTTTTATAACAAAAAAAAAATCCAACTCTATGTATGAATTCAGCTCTAAGGAAAAGATTTTGATTCCCAAATAATTGAAAAAGTGACAAAACAATGGGGAGGATGGAGGAGCCATTTTTTCTCTTGGAGTGGTGAAGAGTGGAGAATCCCTCTTTTCAGTACTTTCTATTTATTTAGTATATGTCTTATAGAAATGCTGATTTTTCTGTGTCAAAGTATAATTCTCATGCTGAAGCTCTAGCCTAAAGGCAGAAAGTTATCTTCATAGTACAAACATTATTCATCACTTTTGTAACATAAACAAATAATGAAACAAAAATTAGGAGTTGAGCTGAGCGAGAACACACTTTCTATGAATGTCCCCTAAAAACCACAGGCCTCTAGGAAATCTCAGTACTCATTACCAAATGTAACTTGAGTGTCTAGTTCATCTTGGGAAAGTCTGACACTTATATTCACCCTGGGCCTAGAGTAGGTATGTGTGAGTGATGGCAAGCCTTGTTTTTAGACTAATCTGTGACCACAGAAATAAAGCCAACACTTCTTAAAGTAAGCCTTTAAAATATTGCCCAACTGATACTTGAGTAGGACTGGTTCAGAAGTTTCTTCTTTCTACCTAAACATTTACCTTCCAGTTTTACCCAAATATGTAGGATTGGGAGGTGGGGGGATGTATTATATTAGAGGGCCACTTTGTCTGAATTATAAAAATGCATCTTCAGTGTTTTTTGTTTCAAATGGTAGTAAAATATTTTAACTCTAAAAAAAAGATGTTCCTTTATGTTTCACTAATGCATAAATATTTCCAGCAAAAAGAAGGTAGGAGTTGGAAATTAATTTGTTACTTGGGAATAAAGGGCTTTTTGAGAGGAATGGGGGCATTAAATATTTTCATTCTGCATCTATCCCAGGCTCTTGTTTCTTTTGAAGAATATTTCTAAATAACAGTATTCCTAAAATCTGACAAGTATCATTTCAATTACTTGCCATTCCCCACCTCCCATACCAAAGTTTGAAATTTTTTCATGTACTAGTACTTGACTGGGTGAAGGTTGTCGTTTCAAACTGTATATATCCTTGCAGCCATTATAGTAGGGCTTGACCCACAAATAATACCGGATGGCCTGGCCTATAAATAAATACAGCATTCTATTTTTAATAATTTGTATGCCACCAATTTGTATTCTTTGTCTCAATAAATACTTGGTCACCAATGGTTTTATGTTTTGCCTGTTTCACTGAGGTTTTAGAATCTCCAAAGGGAAGAACTTCCTTCCAAATACAGCTTTCTGCCTTCAGAGTGGCCACGGCAGTCAACTAGAATGCTTTCAGAAATAGAGGACTACCAAAATCATCATCCACTTTTGGAATATATTATCTTAGCAAGTCATTCAAAAGTTGCCCATAGATGGTTAGGCTTAATGTTAAACTTTCCTTCTTAAAGTGGCTAACCACCTCAACTATCATGCAACATAGTAAGGACCCATACACATGAGGAACCAGAAATTCAAGTCACATAACTAATAAATGAGTCAGCTGGGCAATTTAAACCTAGTTCTGATCTCACAAGCATTTCCTGTTCTAATCTTTATAAATCTAGAAGACGGAACACAAAACAAGTTCTTCAAAGGCAAAGATAATGAAGGATAAACTCAAATGTAGCTTTATGGCCTGGTCTGAGTCCTGTAGACAGACAAGGTGCTGTTCTGAGTCCAGCCCATCATGGAACTAGAGTGGACTGGACTTCTAAGGTAAGTGTATAAAAGTTGCCTATATTATCCTATCCTATATAATAAAAACCTAATATGCAAATTGACTGAATGGCGGAACAACCAGTCACTATGACACACACTGACCACCAGGGAGCAGACGCTCAACGCAGGAGCTGCCCCCAGGCCAGCCAAGGTCGGTGCCAGCAGGAGGCCCCTGATTGCCCCACAGATCAGCCCTAATTGCTGGCCAGGCCTAGGGATCCTACCCATGCATGTGTTTTGTGTGTTGGGCCTCTAGTAAGGAAACAAAGGCACTGACATGGTCATACTGCAGCTGTGTGTAGCTGGACCCAACACACCCAGTTCTTCATTTTTACTATACCAAATTTGTCAATTTCCATTACACACACAGGCTAGCCTTTGTAAAATTTCCATTCAGTTTCAAACTTGATACATAAACAGACCCAGGAAATGAAATGGAGTCATGTCCTGCCTAATGATGTTTTGGTCAACAATGAACCAAATGTATAACAGTGGTCCCTAAGATTATAATGGAGCTGAAAAATTCCCATTGCCTAGTAACGAGACAGCCATTATGTTATAGCATGATGCATTACAACTGCCTACAGTATTCAATACAGTAACATGCTGTACAGGTTTGTAGCCTTGGAGCAATAGCCATGGTGTGGAGTAGGCTATACCATCTAGATTTGTATAAATGCACTACATGATGTTTGCTCAACAATGAAATCACCTAATGACAAATTGTTCAATGTATCCGGGGTCAAGTAATGCATGACTGTACTAATACAACTGAAGCAAATACAAATTCTTCCCAGGCTAAACCAGAAAGTTTAAGGCTTGATTATAAATTGTTAAAATTAGTCCACCACTTTTATTTAAAATAAAATCTTAACACAATTTCAGGGGAGAATTTCTAACAAATAATAAGCATCTGGGTGGCTCAGTTAGTTGGCACATCATCCCGTAAACCAAAAGGTGGCAGGTTCAATTCCCAGTGAGGGAATATATCTAGGTTGCAGGTTTAACCCCTGGTCAGAGTGTGTATGACAGGCAACTGATTGATGTTTCTCTCTCTCCCTAAAATCAATAAAAACATATCCTCGGATGAGGATAAAGAAAAAAATAAGCAGCTAGCTTAAAGACAAATTTTCCCATTGTCTGAATTTTCTTAATGCCTGAAATCATAAATTACTCAAAACATAGTACTTAAAGTGGCAAGTCCTCCAGGTGCTTATTTAATGATGCAGATTTCTGGTCCCTGCCCAGACCCAGTGAATTAATCTCTGATGAGGAGGTCCTAGAACAGTGATGGCGAACCTATGACACGCGAACTCATTTTTTTGGTTGATTTTTCTTTGTTAAATGGCATTTAAATATATAAAATAAATATCAAAAATATAAGTGTTTTACTATGGTTGCAAATATCAAAAAATTTCTATATGTGACA